AGATTTATGGCATTGAACTCGTTCAGAAATGTCTAAATTATCATCCATAGGCAACTGTTTTCTCAGATCAATGATTAAAAATGGCTTTCAGCAAATGAACCCTTTAGATCTTAAAGAAGACATTCCTTCATCAGATCTTAAACTGGTGATAGAAAATCATAAAGAGTTATACCAAATAACAAAACCCACATCACTTGACTTCCAACAGTAGTAGCAACTAAAATGGATAGCATGTCTATTTAGAAGAGAAAAATAATGATATAACTAAGATCTTGACGTTCCTCACTACCTTAAACAAAATGTTGGTAAGGAAAATCCTGTCAATACTAGAAAGAGCAATAACAGTTAGTGGATGAGAAGTCTATTTTCCTGAAAAACTGCTTGAGGAAAAAGATTTTATAAATTTCAACCAACGGTGACGCTGTTTGGTCAAAGAATGCTACATGTTTCCTGTATGGAAATGGTTAATTTCACCATCACTATTCCTGTTTATTTCCCATGATCTTCTTCCCCACTATAGTTTAGCATACCTTATAACTTTTCTTCCTATAATTGCTGAAATTTATTTATTTATGCTACTCATATTGATTTTAATAAAAGTCCTTACCTTACAAAATGGAGAACTTTTACTATGATTCATAATAGTAATTTTATTGTCTCGTGTACATAGTAGTAATTGTATTGCCTCTAGTAAAATGTTGGTCCTCCTACTACTACGAATAATAATAGTAATGATGATGACTCTTATAATTATAGTTGCATTAAAAAATTGATTTATCAATATTATAGGTTTTAGTATTGTTTCTCATTTGTGTTTTAAAAGGTTTTGTTTGTGAATTTAAAAATCAGATACAACATCAAATCATGAAATTTCATTGGCTCATCTTTCTGATGATGTCATCCAGTTGAGGAGCAAAGTTAAATTGTTTGAAAATTGCATTGCCCCACCATTATGCTATCTGCTTTTCTCCAGAAAAATAAAATGAATAAAAAAGAAAAATCAAGTGGCAGACATTGAAATTTGTCATTAAAGCATTTTTCACTCTTATTTCTCTCCCCACACATCCTGACATGTTAATATTACTTGTTTTATCACCGTTTTTTTTTATCACCAGTTTTTTTTGTTTTTTTTAAACTAAGGCATAAAATAAAGTGAGTGTTCTTTTCCATTTTTCTTTCTTTTCAATTTCGTTTACATTTTTTAGAAAAACTTTCTAAATTGAAAAAGGATCGTGTTTTATTAAATCTACACAAAAATCTAAAAGACAACATGCAACTGATGTAGTGTGAAACATAAGAAGAAAAAGCTTCTTTTTTTTTTTTCTTTCAACTCTTCACCACAAGGAAGTGGATTGCACACCAATTTCAGTTAGACTTCTTTTACTAAACAAGTTCCTAGCATTAAGAATGCCAATCTTAAACCAGTGTAGAAAAAACATCAATTTTTAGACTGGCTATTTTTTTTCTTCATGGCCTTATGAGTGATGAATTATTTTCCACTCAACAACCCTTTTCCCACAGACGAAATTTAACAAGCCTCTCGCTACTCTATTGCTATTTACATGATAAATGTTCAAGTAAGCTATGTTCCTTAATTCCACAAAACCTGACCTTCGTAGCTAAGATTTGCCATGCCATGTACACTGGATGAAATCATATGAATTAATTTTCCTTATGTTTTTCAATGTTAAATATTCTTTTTTTTTTGTGCAGTAGTGACACAAATGTCTTTCTTGGACAGTCATTTTAAATTTATTTTAATAATATGTGGAAATATCCACTCTGCCTGAAGAAGGTCACAAGAAGCAAAACGTGTGTTGCAAAATTATGGAAAATAAAGCATAATACATATTTTTTTAAAATCCACATTACAACCAGAAATGTTTGCGGTTTCTCTCTTCTTTTTAAAATATACACTGCTCTCATTGGAACAACTATAACCTTTTCCCTATATATATATATATATATATACTTCAAACATTATTGGACAATTTGAGTAGATGCTCTATTTATTTTAAACAATATTCATTTTGTCTCATGAGAAACTTAATAAAGAAAATATACCCTCTGGCTGGATTTGAAACTGCAATTCCCCCTTTACAGAAGGACTTACTGTCTGAGCTGTTTAAAATAAGAGGAGTGTATATGCAAATACTATTTTATAACCACAAACATTATTTTTAGTGGAGGTAATAAGGGTATGTTGGATTAAAAAAATCCATTAAAATATATATATGTGTGTGTGTGTGTGTGATAAAAATCATATGTATATGCATATATACTTGCACATACATATATATTTTTTCTCAGGTGTTATAAAAACAGTGCTCAGTATTATATAACAGAATTATTATGTATATATTAGTGAATATATATAATATCCTATGTTGATAGCACAAGTCACTTTCATGTAAACATACAATTTTCAGGTGCAAACTTACCAACTGTTAAACACTAAGTTGTGCTATCAATGTAGGATATTATGTATATTCACTAACATATACTTATATGAAATGAAATAAATATATATATATATGTATATATGTATGTATGTATGTATGTATGCGTGTGTGTGTGTGCATCAGCATATGTGGGTAAATATGCATGTGTGTGTGTATCGTTTTTGCATATGGGTAGGTATATAAGGCAGCGTGTATTGTTGTGTGTGTGTTAGTATATATATATATATTTAAAAAATGAAACAGACTGTCCTTCTAAGTGTTGACTTTTATGTTTTCTTTTATATTTACACACACTCTATCTCTGATATTTCACTTTATCCCATAAATATAGCACATCTTAAGATTATATTTCTTCATATATATATATATATATATATATATATATATATATATATATATACCTATGATTTGGTGTGCAACTTAAGTTTCATTGGTTTTCCAACTCACCTGGCACAAAAAGTATATCTTAAGTTTTTATAAAAATAAACAGATGGGAGGAACGCTGCTTTATAGTCCAAAAATAAAATAATACAAAAAGTGCAGGAAGTGTGGTGCAAGTAGGGTTCATTTAAAAAAAAAAAAAAAAAATTTTAAAGGAAAAAATAGAAATTTAAATTATTACTGGAGATGCTGCTCTGGGTCTGATATAATAATGCTTGCCAGGTTAAAGAGAGGTAAGCAGGTATGAAACCTAAGGCTTAATAAAAGAAAGATATAATGAAAAAAAAGGAATTTAATCCATCTTCCCGTATTTTAAGAGAAACAATTTTCTGAGCCTACAGTCAATCATGAGTTCGTTCTGCTTATTAAGTAGTATTACATTGTTAATATTTTTGAGGATGAATTTTTTTCTAATAGATATAGGTTGCATATATATATATATATATATATATATATATATATATATATATATATATATATTATATTCATGCAGGTATTATATTTACCTATTTTAAATTTTTATATATATATATATATATATGTAAGCAAATATATGGATATAGATCCGACAGTATGAAAGAAAAATACAGAAAAAAAACAAACAAAAATCTGAATATGCAATTATGTAGTATTAATGTTAAAATAAAGTCGACGTCGGACGTTTCGGTCTATTTAAGACCATCTTCATTATCAGTTATCTGTTTGGATTAGTTGGGCTCTTATGTCCATCGTCTTTTGTGTTAAATTTTTATAAGTTCTAATGTTAATTATGTTTAAATGAAAATGTCCATGAAGATGGTCTTAAATAGACCGAAACGTCCGACGTCGACTTTATTTTAACATTAATACTACATAATTGCATATTCAGATTTTTGTTCGTTTTTTTTCTGTATTTTTCTTTCATATATATATATATATAGAGAGAGAGAGAGAGAGAGAAAGAGAGAGAAAGAGAGAGAGAGATATTCCCATTATAATATGTGTGTGTATGTGCATGTCTGCAGATATTTGAAAAGATGATGAAAAGTTCTCAGCCTAACCATGATAGCCACTCCAACAAAAAAAATGTTTCATTGAATTCTGTAGGTTTCATTCAGTTTTCCTCAGGCTCTTACCATTTCTTTGCTAAACTGAATGTCTATCCCATTCAATGAAACATGTGTAAAAGAAAGATTGATTAATTGATTGATCGGTTATTTAATGCCAAGATGTTTTAAGAATTTATATCTTGTAAACAAACCTTTTGGGTTGTTGATTCGATCACTCTCCATTTATGCCTTTAAAACAGAGTTATTTAGTACTATAGTTTGTGGTATAAACATAATAGAAAAATTGCTGTCAAATTATAAACACATGCACATTTTACAGGGCATGCAAAAGTAGGTATACAGTAATTGAAAACCAAACCCTGTGCACAGAATGTATTGTATTGACTCTACAAACTTGTCAATAATAAACATGTCAATCCCTCAAATATTCAAACTGTTTGCCCCTATCATACGCACACTCTTCTTTAGTTGAAAAACATTTATTATTATCAATATTATCATTTATTAAAAAATAAAATTTATAATAAATGAAATATAATAAGAATTATGAAAATAAAAATATTAAAAATGATTTTAATGAATTAAATGAAATCTAGTATTAAATGAATCCTAGAATCACTTTTATAATACTGGTTATACAGGTATAATACTTACTATATATCTACTTTTGCAGGCCTCTTTATGTATGTATGTGTATGCATACATGCATTTTTCTATAATGTTTTGTTGTACCAGTGTTAACTCACTTGCCATGTGGCAGTGTCTTTGTTGTGAAAATGTTGGACTGTCCCAAGATGTTTAAGAAGCCTGGAGATGAAGTGACTGACGTGGTGAACAAACAGAGTGTGACAAAAAGAATTGAGGAAAAAAAGACTCACATCTGAAAGCCATCTGATAATAGTAAGGACATAACAAAATAGACCATCAATTTTTGATGGCATTGGTAAATGATCACAAACTTTTATGCATATATATATATATATATATATATATATATATATATTCACACATGTTCAACATATTTGTCAGTGTTTTGCACTGCCATTTCATGCCAAATAAGAATTATTGTAGCAGAAAAATAAATATTTTCTTTCATGCAATTCTTTGTGAAAGCTTTCATATCTCTTTTAACGTGATTCTTCTTTACCAATCTTTGTTGTCTTTTGTACGTAAAAAATATTTTTGTCATTTTTTTTTTGTTTTTGCACTTTTCCAGTTTTCTTTCCTTTCTTTTTGTCCTTCTTCACTTTTTGCATTTTGTCTTTGTTCCATTTTGTTTTTTATTTGCATTTCTTTCTTTCATTCTTTTCATTCTTTTCTATTCTCATTCCTTTTTGAAATTCACTTTTATTTTATTCAACCCTTCTTTAAATTCTTCTTTCTTTCTTGCTTTCCCCCATTTTCAGCTTTGATTTATTTTCAGTCTTTTTTCTTTTTCCTTTTCTTTTTCATTTCATTCTTTTTTCCATCCTCTCTTTTTCGCTCCTTTCTTTCAATTTCTTTCTTCTTGTCTTTTGATTATTTTCTTTTCCTCTTTTTTTTATTCCTTTTTCATTCTTTTCTTTTTTTTCATTCTTTTATTCCTCCTTCTCTTTTCCATTCCTTTTCTTTCTTCTTTCCTCTTTCATTTCATTCTTTCTTCCTCTCTTTTTCACTGTTTCTTTTTCTTTTTTACTTTCTCTCTTCATTTGTTTGCTTTATTTTATTCTCTTTTTTTATTAATTTTTATTTCTTTTTTTACATTATTTTCTTTTTCTTCTATTATTGTTCCTTTATTTTTTTCTTCTCTTTTGTCATTCCTTCCTTTTCCTCTTTTTCTTACTCTCTCTTTATATTTCTTTCTTTCTTTCTTTCTTTCTTTCTTTCTTCCCATCTTTTTTGTTCCAATCTTTATCTCATCATTGTTCCTTTCTTCCTGTTTTTGATTCCTATCTTTCTCTTTCACTTTTTTCATTTCCTTCTTTTTATCACTTTATTTTTAATTCTTCCTTTTCTTCCTCTCAGTTTTTCATCTCTTTTTCCCGGTTTGCTTTTCTTATTCTCTTTCATGCTATTTTCTTCATTTTCTTTCTGCTTCATTCTTTCTTGTTTCATTTAGCTTGCTTTATTAAATATCCTTTATCTATACACACACAAAAAATACATATATATATATATATATATATATATATATATATATATATATATATATTTCTCAAATTAAACTATATATATATATATATATATATATATATATATATATATATATATATATATATATATATATATATATAGTTTAATTTTGAGAAATTCATATAAATCTATATTAAAAGTGAAACATGTTAGATTGATATACATTTTCTAATTGTTCTTTATCTTATCATCCTGTCAGATTCTGATCCATATTTTATCTGCATTTGATTTTTATTTTTAATTTAATATATATATATATATATATATATATATATATATATATATATATATATATATATATATTCTCCGGTCAAATTTGATGTATGAGGGTCAAGCAGATCAGTTCCCAGGAAACCGACAGCGTGACAACAGCACATGAGATTTGATTATAATGGTGAAGGTTTCATGCAGGACCATCCACACTTTTTGAAGGGCCAAATACAGAGACCTGGTGCACTACATGCCACAAGGTCCCTAAATGACCCTCTGCAGGTTTTGAATTCAGAGTTCACCTTCTACTAGACCAGTTGCCATCCAAGGCTATAGAACCCAGTCTGTCCTGCTATTTACCCATAGCTGGAGGGAGAAGAAAAGGATTCACACCTTTCCCAAGGGTATTAGCAAGTAAGTGAATGTAATGGATTCGACTGAATTTGAACTCAGCTCTTTTATTCCTCAATCCAAGCTGCTATCCATTATTCCACCGTGCTTCATATATATATATATATATATATATATATATATATATATATATATATATATATATATATATATATATATATATATATATATATTCATGTAAGATGAAAATGAATAGAGTACAAATCCAACATTCAAAAAATTTAATCATCTGATGAGATGTGTTGCACTTTGATTGAAACATGACTGCAGTTGTGTAGCAATTGTGACATGTTTTCGATGTAATATCCTAAAATAAAGATATATATTGTCATCCACAGACAAACTGTTTCACTGTATCAGAGCTCATCAGTGTGACTAGATGTATGGTTGCCTCTAGCCAGGATTGAAACCTGGCTGAATTGGTGGCAGTCAGAGATTCTATCCCTAAGCCTTTGGCGCATGATAGGGATGAAGGTGATATATATATATATATATATATATATATATATATATATATATATATATATATATATATATATATATATATATATATAAGATTCACAAAAAAATTATCATACATGGTGAAAATGCTCAAAACTTAACTTTGTCATTATTAAGAGAAAAGACCAAAGCATTTTTTGATTATTAAATTATATCTTTTAATCCTTTTTAGAACCATCAAAATTTTGTTTAATTTTTTTTCTCTTTTGGCACATGGTAGGGACGAAGGTGAGATATATATATATATATATATATATAGTTCCAAAGATTCACAAAAACAATTACCATACAGAGTGAAAAATGTTCAAAACTTTTGTTATTAATAAGAAAAAAAGACCAAAGAATTTTTTGATTATTAAATTATATTTTTCAATCCTTTTTAGAACCTTTAAAATTTTGGTTAATTTTTTTTCTTCCATTAGCAGATGACTATAAATTGGTATGAGAAATCTTTTATTATTTATTAATTCACATGCCCCTTTAAGGAACTGTATTCCTGTTCAAACCATATATATATATATATATATATATATATATATATCATACATTATGAAATTTCCTTTCCCCTTCCTATCAATTTTATTTTTAAATTTCTTTTTTCCATTCTACTCTCCTTTCTATATTTCCTCACAATTTTTTCATTCCTTACTCCTTTTTTTGTCTTTTTTCGTTTTTCCTCACTATCTCATATCTCTTTTTCTCTTATATACATAGATATTACATTCTACACACCTTGCTTTTCCTTCTCTTTTGTATTTCCATTGTAGCCAAGTAATAATCCTTTTCATCTGCCAATAGCCACACCCGACTAATCTCACCTTTATTTCCCTGAGGTTCATTTCAATTGGGATTATGGTGTCAGTCTCTTGTAACATTTACTTCATTCACTCATCCCGCCTCTCACCTTCCCATCTGTCTGTCTTGAATTATAGGAAAAGCTGTCCAAACTTCAGAAGTAGTGGGTGGGAAATAATTGTCCCTCACTGCTCATTTCACAGGCACACAAGTTATTGATTCAGTATCAAGACTGTTAAGACCTGTCTGGATGGCATGAATAGTTCTTATATTTCTAAGGATTCTTAACTGGTAGATGAAGAAAAAAAAAAAAAAGAAGGTTTATCAACAACCTGTCCATCTTGAGGGATATATATTGCTTTCTTATTAACTTTAAAAACTGTGTTGAAAACCTGAATAACTTTTAACTACTGCTAACTTCCAGGAGAATAAGTAATATTTTGGTCTAAAGTTTTCCACCCATACACATGGCAATCACAAATAAAAAGTTATGTATAAAATAAAATGATTATGTATATATATATATATATATATATATATATATATATATATATATATATATATATATATATATAATTATTTATTTAAAAAATTTATAACATAAACATGTTATAGAATCACTACAAAAATAGCCATTTTGTTTCAACACTCCCGGTGTCTTATCAAGTGATGATGTTGAATGCAAAACAAATGGTTTTAAAAGTTTCTACACCAATTATATACTTGTATATATATATATATATATATATATATATATATAGATACAAGTTATCGTATGAGTGTTTAGGATCATTTTTTTTATGGCCAAAAAATAGGGCTTGCACATGGGTAAATTTATTTGAAGTGATTAAAATTTGATGCACTATACACAGGTAAAACTTTTCTGGAGGAGTTAAAATTCATGCCAAAAAATTCAGTGTTCAGTGGTCACATTATACATAAAGACAGTTTATACATGAGTGCATACAATATATAGAATCAATTCCTAAGTCTGCTGCAAAGAAAGTTGGTTCATTCTATAGTTTTAGAAAATTTCTTATTAGAATCTATTTTACAGCTTTATAAATCAAACATTCATCCACGAATTGAATATTGCTGCCACATCTAGCTCCTGCTATGCATCTACAGATTTTTGACAAAATCTGAAGAAAAATCTGCAAAGTTATCAGTACTAACCTGGCAACTCAGCTACAGCCAATTTCCCACTGCTGTAGCATAGCTTCCCTGTAACATTTCTTTTTCATGGTAATTATTCTGATGAAATTTTGTGGTACCTCAACTTTATGAACTATGGCACACATCAGGAACTCTTGTATGACTTTTGACTCTCCTGTAAACTATGATCTTCAAAGGTTGAGATGCAATGTTAATTGTCAGCATCTTTTTTTCTGAATCCTGTTCTTTCATTGTCCTATCTCCTCAATAATGCTTTTTCAGTTTCTTTCATGTTCAGTAACACTTTGTAAGGAAAGGTAAAGTGTAAGGAAAGGTAAACTACTATGAGGTATAATAAGAGTTGTAATTCAATGCCTAGTTTTTTATATTGTCTTTTGATAGATATATTTTATTTATATCTTAATTTTTACACACATATATCAAGAAGAAGAACTCTTCAGACACATGACCCTGTACTTCCACGACTGTCAGTTTTATGTCTTATGACTGAGCAAGGATGAAGAACCATGCAAAAATAATTGCAAGTGAACAAAAATGGTCGTTATATAAGAGAGGGTAGAAGAAAAGGCAGAATTACACTGATTTTCTCAAGTACGCAGACCAGTAGATGAAATAAGTACTGTTTAATAAATAAACGGAACATCTACTCAAATATGGGTATCCACTAAAAATAACATTTAAGTAATAAAACTATGTTAGATTAAAAAAAGAAATCCATTAATTCTTTATAAATTGCTTGGTATCACCAAAATGGATGCTTTTTTTCCAAAATGAAAGGCAAAAATCACTACCCCTTGATTTAAAATATCTTTCAAAAATCAAGGAATTTTTCATTCGCTTCTCACTTCCCAACCATTGAGTTTCGATATGTTTGGTAGCGGTTACAATGAAAAGGAGATTTAGTCACTCTCACTCAACATCAGGCTGACTTGAAGTTGACCATTTTTTATACCTTCACATCTTGTATCTATGTGTGTCAGTAAACATTGGCCATTCATTTTTTTAATCAAGTCTTCGTTTTATTTATTGCGGTCCACTGACATTCAGCTTCTGTTAGTGGCACAAAGTCAAATACTACCCTTCAAAAAAAAAAAAATTTTTTTTTAAATATTTGATGTCACTGAATTGTAGTTAGCTTTGCTATTTATGATTAGTGAATATAGTTTTTAGTTAATAACAATGTCCTCTAACCCCTACAAAGTAATGCTGAAATTTAAAAGATTTAAAATTTTATAAATTATTATAAAGTTAAAAAATGAAAACAATTCTTGCAAAACTTCATTATTCATTATTCATCAAAAAACTTTTTTTTTAACAATTGGGTCCATAATTCATGAAAGCAATTAAAAGCTTTTCTAATTAAATAATGTCATATTTTTATGGCATTTTTTATTGTATGTTTCAGAGCAAATTTTCGGTAACTGTTTTGCAAAAAGAAATTGACGATTTAAATTGTCCAAGAAGTTCTGCTTTTAAGTTTAACTAATATAAATATTAAGCTCTACAAAATCTAATTTTTTGAAATTTTGTAAAATTAAATAACATGTAAAAAAATTAAAATATTTTACCAAGATTTTCTAAAAAAAAAAATAATTTCTAAAATAATTTTATTCATTTTTGAATAAGTTCTGAGAGTTTCATTAAAATCCAATAATTATTTGATTTTTGCAAGAATTTCCAATCAATTTATTTTTCACTGCAAAAAAGATGCTAAAATTTCCTCTACTAATCTTTGGCTGCTGCACTAAAGCAAAAAAAAAAAGAATATTTTTAACCAAAATTTTGAAGTTTCTAAAAAGGACCAAAAAATATAATTTAATAATAAAAAATTCC